CACACACACACACACACACACACACACACACACACACACACACACATATATATTCCCTCTATTTTTTTGTTTCAAACATAAAATTCATCATCATATATATGTACGTAACATCAAAACAGCCCTCTCCAAACAACTATATCAACCACTTGAAATTTCTAATCTACACATCAAATGAGTATAGTTTACTAAAACTAACTTGCCAAGTTAACAAAGAACAACTCTTTAACTTCAAACTATATAAAAATATATTTTTCCTTCCTGCTTTAAAAACAGAACGTGGCTATGAGAAGAGTAAAGAAGACCTTTCAAGCTTCTTCACAAATAAAACATGATAGAAATGAAATCCTTACCAAAAAACTACAAGTTTCATGAAGGTTATGCATTAAAATTATCATTAATACCTTATCTTTGTGTGTGCCCTCACTTCTTTTATTCAAACTCTTGCCAAGAGCTTCAGGTCGCATTCCTTCTATTTCCGAAACAGAGAGACGTTTTCATATATAAAGCATGCTTAGCTTAATTTACTTTTTAGCTTATGTTTTAACTTTTTTTTTCTCTGTTGGTTATTCATAAAGTAGTTGCTTTTACTTTTGACTACTTTAGTTCCTTCTCATTTGGCTTCCTACGTACAACTAATGTAGGACTGGTTCATTGAAAAGCTTTTTCCACTTTGCTTCTATTTTCTACATCCGTGCAAGATGGTTCTTTTATTCAAAAAGTTATGAGATAACTTTTGTTTTACTTTGATCTAATTGGTTTCTTTTTCTTTTAATTGGACTAAGTCAACTTTTCTTAATATAAGTTTGTCTCCTAGTATCATCACATCAGCGCACATAAGGAAAATGTATCAAACAAGTTTATCAACTTTTCTTGTTATTTAATTCTTATTAGCTCATTTCTTCAATACTTGGTAAAAACATTGAATGATTACTTTCTTTTCCTCCTAGTTACATAGAAGAATAACCAAAGCAAGAACAATATATTAAAGACTCCTTTAACAATGCCTATCCACTTGAAATTTAATCAATAATCCTATATATTAATTTGGTTATACTTGGTAATCAAGTATTTAATTTTTTTACCAATAATATTTATTAACATAAAAGCTATATATATATTCTTTAATTATACTTATCAATCCAAGCATCAATTAATTAATTTAAAGATACTAAAGTCTACTAATTTTCCTAATACCAATTAATTATTCAAACTAGATCATATTTAAATAAATCTAAACTTGCTTCATAAGTTATTCATATTCTTATTTGTATCTAATAATTATTTTTGAGTCTTATTAACATATTTAACATAACCTAACACGTCTTATTAATTATAATCTTAATCAAATAATTTTATCTCTCATGATTTAATTAAATAAGTACTTAATCTAATTAAACACCTAATTAATTTCTTTTTCGTATTTTACTAATGAGGGTTGTTATAGTTTCTATGTGTATGGGTCACTAGAGATGGATGTGAATATAGCTATTAGCAACAGAAGCATGTAATGAATTTTTTCATATTAAAAACAACTTTATGAGTGTGGTGAGATAATAAGAAAAAAATAAAAGGTAAATGAGAGATTAAGGTTCGTTTGGTGGACATGATAAGATAATGGTAGGATATGATATGAGGCTGATAAGCCTATCTCATGTCCTGTGTTTGACGAGCATCTGATTAGCAATCCGATAAGATTATGTAGAAGGAGAAAGGAGAAAGAAAAAACAAAATATAATGCAATAAATACAAATATATTGGGTGGCGTGGGGATATATTGGATAACGTGGAGATATATTGGGTATCCAATATAAGTATCCTATCTTGTTGAATCCTACCCCAGCTCCCTCCATAGGATAAGAAATCATGTATTGGATATGATAAAATGAGACAATAGGATAAGCTAATCATATTATATTGACCCACAAAACAAGAGATAAAAGTAGGATATGATAAGTTATCATATCCTATCTTCTTTATCAGGTGCTTCAAACAGGTCATAAGAGAATATAAGTTGAGGATATAAAGAAAAAATAAATGTAATTAAATAGGTTGAGGAAATATTAATGTGTTGACTGTACACCCTAACCAGTAGTTATATTGCATGACTTGCATGTAAGATTTACTAGAGTTGATTGATTAGATATAAGGGAAAAGTTCATCAATGTCCTTGTGATTTGCTTCACATGTGAAAAGCTTGTCCTACATACAAGATGATTGTGAGTGTGTCCATAATCGATGATATAAACCACACAAGAATTTTCTTTCTTTATCAAACTGCATCTCACAACAAAAGAAGACATTGGATGTGGGAGCAGTCCAAATCCCATAAATAGGCCGAATAACTTTGGGCCTTCATACCATAATTGGGCTAGTAGGCAGGCCCAAGTATCAAATATCATATAGACATATAATTAAGGGAAAATTTTAAAAAAAATCCTATAAGTTTTCTTAGAATTATTTATTTCTTTTCCAAAATTTTAAATTATTTATCTCTTAATTTAAAGTTTTTTTATTACTTTTCCCCTAAGTTAAAATGTAAAGATTCTGCTTGGAAAACTTTAGAAGGCGTTTGATAGAGGAGAATTTTTTTTATCCGAAAATCTCGATTTTCAGAAATATGATTTTTACATTTATTTTACGATAATATCCGAAAATTAAAAATTTAGAAAAATTCAATTTTCGAGAATCCTGAAGAATATCGCATAGCAAACACCTCCTAATGGATTTTTTTGAAGTTTCCCTATAACCAATTATGCTGTTGAGTTGTGAGTGCATCAGCTCGGAAATTTGGTCTTGGTTGCGTTCATCGCCTTCAATCTACGATTCTGCTCCATATATAGCAAGAGTTATTTTGAATGTTTTTATTTAATTTATTTTATTTAATTGACTTAGCTGATGTTTATAATTTATGTTTGAAATTCATTTTTATTTAGATGGTAATAATCTTATAATTGATTTTTTTTTTCTAACTTTTGAAAATCATTGAAGTTCTTATAATTACCTTTAAGCAGTATATGAGTGTTATTTTTTAAATTGTCTTATTTAATTTCTTACATTTAATCAACTTAGCCAAGATTTAGACTTTCGTTTTTCATTTAACTGCGTTTTTTTCTATACTATTTAAAACATATTTATCAAATTGATATCATGTATTTAGTTCTATATGTATTTAACATACTTTAAGTATACTGATAGTCAGAGGCTAGAAACTTAAAAAATGGTATATTTTGAAGAATGATGCTAATTTTCTGTTAATGTTATTGGGTAGCGTTGAAAATTTTCAAACGTTTCTGTTTGCCAAATTTCTACAATGTGGCAAAAGTCACGTGTCATATTTAAAGCTTTTATGCATATAAAAGTTGGGTTATCTTTATCTTATTTTGTACGAGATAATTAAATTTTTCACACTCATAATAGATGGGTGGATTCTACTTTTTTTTTTTTTTTCTCTTCATATCTATGAATTCCTCTTGCAATTTTTTTTACAATATAAAATAACTATTTTTTATAACATAAGAAAATTATTTCTGATAAAAAGTTTGTGATCTTAATTTTTTTTTTTTTGTCTTATGATGCCACGTGGACAATAAAAATGGTAAAAACATTAGCTACTTTCTAAGAAAGATTGAGAATGCCACTTTTTTTTTTTATTATTTAGATTTATTATCGGTATATTGATTAATCAATTAATCTTGTTGAGCCGATCAAGGTAAAACTATCTCTATTAAATTTTTTAACACATGCCACCAATTTTTACTTTACTTAGGATTTCGTGTTCTATAAAATATTATACAAGGACTAATGATTTTTTTTTATTTTATTAAAAGAGCTAATTTTTTTTTCTTGTTCCGGATATTAAGTTATTACGCGTAACCCAAGAATAAATCTTTGGTATTACTGCTGTATCAAAGATTCAGTATATTCCACCAATGAAAATATTACATGTCAGTTAATTATTTTTTTTTCTATCAATTTTTTTTTCTCTTCTCTGATGTTTAATATTCTCATTGATGGGATGCACTGAATCTATGTACAACAGTAATACCAAAGATTTATTCGTAACCCAAACGACATTGCATCTTTCATGTGATCAAATAATTGATTTCTCGGGACACAAAAAACATTAAAATGCTACAAAATATTTGGTATGTTCGAATGGTTTGCATGACTTATGAGTAATTTGAAAATGGGAAAAAGAATTATTATTTAAAAGGACACAAGTTATGTCATTTTAGATAATTTACACAAAGTGTGTAAATCTGAAAAGTTATTTTTTTTCTCTCTCCTTATTCACATCGCTAAAAAAAGTAACTTTAGTGACTTACACAGAGTATGACCGGTTACACAGAGTATGACCGGCCATACTCTGTGTAAGTAACTAAAATGACATATAACTAAAATGACATAACTTGTGTCCTTTTAAAGGACTCACACTAAACTCTTTGAAAATAGTTTACATATTAATGTTTTTCAATGTTATATGAAATAATTTTATTTATTCTATATATATACTACCATTGAACTAAACACTTAATACGATGATCATATTTTCATTATATACTTTTGACTGATGTAAGAGAGGAAAAAAGTAATTATAATATTTTTATGGTAGTATAAAAAATGCTCTCCTTCTCTTAACATGACCTTACATGTAACTATATATTTTTAGAAAAAAATATGTATCATTTTAAAAGATATAAAGTTGTATCATTTTAAGTGAGAGAAAGAAATAAATCATGGAAGAGAGAGTCAAGGAAATTTTTTTTAAGAATGTGGGTCCCACCTCATTGTAAGAGTGAAATGATATAAAATGTGTCATTTAAAATGACACACCTCTTTTCCATACTTTTATATGTACATCTGTTAAAAATAAAATTGTCTTGTTAAAAAATAAATAAATTAATCCCATAGTTTATTAAACTTTTATTCACCTAACCTGAATTGCTTGTGCAAATATTTAACAGTAGTTGCCCTGCCATTACGCGCGTTAAGTGTATTTTTACATCAGGGAGCAAGTGTTAATTAATCCTCTGTTGAATTTGAACTTTGGACGCAGTTCCCATGGCTTCACGGAGGGGATGCCCTCACAGTCAGAGTCACAGCCATCTTCAGCGTCACTGCCCCCACTGCCCCCTCTACCATCATTGCCCCCACTGCCCCCTCCACAACCCTCACTTTCATTCCAAGTCTTTCCAACAATTACATTATTTCACTCCTCTTCCGCAAAATTCACATCTCTTCAATCCCTTGCCTCTCAGAAATCATCCCAATTCTGGGCCTGTTGAGTATAATAATCAATCTATGACCTCTGATGCTATGTAAGTTGTTTCATTCTTCTATTTATCGGTAGTCCTTGTTTTATTTTCTTGTTTCTGATATTTATTATTGGGATTAATGTTTATCTCCTAGACACTTAAAAGTTGGGTGGTAGAAAACACGGTTTCACACACTTTTATACGTATCTTCTAAGAGATAAAATCATCTCCTACAATATAACAAACATTCATTAACCCCTTTATTATCGTACTGTTAGACTGTATTTGATGGTGAAAGGCTAGTGGGTAAGAAAATGGGTTTTGAGGGAGGGAAAAGGATGTGGGAGTTTGATTAAGTAAAATGGAAGAATTAATAGTAATTGTGAAACTCAAAGGAATGTCATGAGTTTTGACATTGAATCATGTAATGGATTTTTTTTTCCACGATAGAAACAATGACCTCTATCAGGTGTGGTGCGCATACAACAGTAGTAGGGAAATTAAAAGCTTTGATGTTTGAAGCCTCATAATGACGATGCTGAACTTGTAAAAAAGATACGGTGGGGTTGAGAGGAAAACGAGACATGAATTGAGGATATATCTAGGGGTGTACATGGATCGAATTGAACTGAATTTTTTGAACAACTGAACCGAATTGGTTTAAACGGTTCGGTTCGATTTGAAAACGGTTCGGGTCGAATCTATTCTGAAAAGAAAAAATAAAAAATTAAAGAAATAAAGTAATAAAACGGTTCAGTTCAGTTCGAAAACGGTTCGGTTCGATTCTTAAACTGGTTTCTAAAAACTAGTTCGGTTCATGAACTGGTTTTCAAAAACCAGTTATTTTTAATACATTTCAGTTCAGTTTTTTGGATCTTTTGCACACCCTTAGATATATGAATGTGTGAAGGTATTGCTTGACTTGTATCGGGTGGCTGAAAGGCTCTAACTTAATGAAAATGGTTGAACCAGAATTGATTGATCGGAGAAATAAGGAAGATAAAATTCCAAGAAATGGATAAAATTGACAGGATTAAATAGTATGGTATGGGGTATAGACAATGGCAAGAAGGATCATTATCATGTACAACTGATTGCTTGATGTTGAAAAGAGGCAAGAAATGAGACCATGGACAAGATATTGTGGGATAGCAATATTGTAGCTGAAGAAAATTGAATACTTTTACGAGCGTAGATCTAGCCTCCAAAGGAATTATATAATGCTTATCTAAAATTTTAGTTATGTAAAGAAGCATAAGAAGATTCACTCATTTTATTCTTTTATGTTCTTATTTCCTCTTTGATATGGCAATCTGCTTGTCATGAAACTATATAAGTAGGAAAAATTGAGATTTGGAAGCAGGGATGCAGTGGATGATATATCAGTCTGGGGGAATGATACAATCAATCAATATCAAAAAATAGAAACTGAAAAAATGACTGATTTATGATTCTGGAAACTTGAGTTACAGTCACCAATTACCAAGGGAAATGAAAACAGAAATGAAGAACTGCAAAATGAACAGTGAACAATGACAGTAAGCATAAAGATAAAGACAGTGCACTTCGAGGAGCTCCGTAACTCTCCCAATACAAGCCCTAGTTTCACCATGTCCTACCCCAAATTCCTATTCACCTATTTAACACTGCCAAGGCCTCCAACTGCCTCACTCATTGTGTTATCCATGCTGGCAGCAACATGTATTCCCTCTCCTGCACCTTCTGGGGGAATATTCTCTCCTAACTGCCTGGATGCTGACTCATCAAGTGGGGGGTTGTGGTTTCCTATGACGCTTCCTAGTGTAAACTTTCTGGGGTCTAACAGGGAACATAACTGTAATTGGGATAAAATCTCTTTATAGGATGTGGGAATGGCTGTATTTCAAAACAGTAGCAAATGAGGGAAATCGATTGCCCAAATTATTACAACAGATGCATTAATTATGTTGGGGATTTTATAAGAACTGAAGATGCTGCAAGCAATGTAGAATTGTAGGAGGATTGAAATTTGCAAGTTTAGTCTGAAAAGGAACTTGAGAGCCTATAGATGTAAGTTATCCAGTGTAGGGTGTGCATAAAGAATTCAAAGATACTTAAGGTAGCTAGAAATTCAAACATTGTGACAGATTTTATGAAATCAAACTGAAGTTCCCTTGATACTGAGTAGGATGCAACAAAGTGCAAAAGTTTAGGTTTAATAACGATTTATGTAGATTGTATGGACAAAGTTAGGGAAGAAAATAAATAATTTGAAACTTCTGGTGCCCAGGAATTCATAGATTATAGTTGAGGTCTTATTGAAACAAATTGAAGTTCAACAGAGTTTATTACCCCAAAACTATAAATAAAATAAAAATCCAGAGAACTAGGAAAATGATAATAAGCTCAAAGCTGGACATTTTGAAAAATATGTAGATTCTGAATTCAACCATTGAAAAGTAGATTGTGAATTTCACCATGAATCAAGGGAAAAAGAATGGAACACTGTGAAGATTTAGAAGCAACCTATAGTTACAATTTGCATTATTATGGAAGAAACTGCCTCTGATCCCAAATTACAGACAAATCTGTCCATGTAGATCAATGCTGTAATTCAGCTATTGCCTCTCCAACTATGAGTTTTCCCTTCAGATCCCAACCTGACTTTCTATCACCGTTCTCTGAAAATTAAGAGTTTTTTCTTTAATAGATTCTGGATGCTGTGCAGTCATTGTTAGCCTGGAAAATCTAACTATATATTTCTGTTTGTTCATGGTTTAGTTTGTCGTTGTATCTATTTGCTTATTATAATTAGGAATCCATGGTTTGGTTGTCTACAATGATTAACCTCACCTCTACCCTTGCTGTTGGAGGTTTAACGAGGAGTCGTTTATATATATATATATATATCTAGGGTCAGGATCATTTTACACCAGTGTAAGTTACATTCTTAATCTTGTCCGTTGATTACACTTATATCTAAGGGCTCTAATTTTTTAGTAATGTGAGTCATTGGATACAAGTGGATCAATGGTCAAGATTGAGTGTAAGATTTTTAACTCTTACACCGCTGTAAGAATATCCTGCCCCATATATATATATATATTAATTAGGAATCCATGAAACCGATTGAATCTTAGGTTTCAGTATGGCTACTTTGTCTACTCTCTTTTTTTATGCTTTGTCAAGGTAATCTATCTTACGATGCTTTTGGTTGGTGTCAGAATTTCACAAGAGCTGGAGCATGTAGAGCTAGATGGTGAAGAAGAGGATGATGAACCAGTTTTTGTTCTAACTGATGAATGGAGGGAATTCTTTGCTAAATCTGAAGCCCGGAGGAAGCTAGGTAGCTAATCTATTTTCAGCTCTTTCTTCTATGCATACATTGATAATATTCATGCATACAGATAAGTAATGCAGATTATGCGTGTGTTAATGTGTCTGTCAGTATGTGTACTTTATTCTTGATTCTCAACTGAAACTGCTGTTGAATAGTTGAGCATGTCATGGAGGTCTTCATATTATCTGCTTCTTTGGATTCTTCAAATTTGTTTTCACGTCAAAATCCAATAAAAACAGAAGATCAAGTCAGGTCTGCATAATCAGTGTGATATAATTGAGTTTGAATAATCCAGATAAGAAGTATAGGAACAAGGCACTTATCAATAATCTATTTGTCTAAGCCAGTTAAGTTACTAGTTTCTAATATTTGTTTTGATACATATCATACAGAGAAGAAACAGGGCAAGAAGGGAAAGAAGTAAAGAGAGAAATAGAGAAATGTTCGTTAACAATTTCTGTATGGGTGATCAAAAGGTTGTTAATCGGTGGTTGATGATGATCCTGCTTTTGAGAATTTAATTTCTTCTAAGCCAGATGAGGATGTAATCTTTAGTCATGTATGACAACAAGGAGTCTTGTCTGCACTTTTTAAAAAGATGAATCACTTACTAATATTCGTTGTTCATTTTTTTGTTTGTTATTTTATAAATTTATCCATGGTATTGAATGCATTTTTATAGTTTGTATATTTTTCAAATATCTCTGGATGTTAGAATTTAGAACACAGGATTGTACACCACAAAAAAAAAAAAAAAATCGCAAGAAAATTATTGCAATTAACAGATAGATGCACATTTCTAAAATATTAACCAAATAGAAAAAGGAAACTGCAATGCGCAACATCTTTTGGGTCCTTGCAGTGGCATTCATTTCCTTTTTAGCTGTGATACTTTTTTCTTTTTATATATATATATATATATATATATGAGGCAGGTTATATTTACAATTTTTTTTGCTTACAAACTCTTATAAACTACACTATATTCTCCCAGGAGAATACAAACTTTTACAAACTACACTATGTTCTCTCGGGAGAAGATAGTATAATTTGTCAAAAAATTCAAAAAAGTTTGTAAACGGATCGTGTCCCTATATATATATGTGTGTGTGTATATATGAGTTTGTTTTTTCTGCAATGTATATAAATTATCTATATTGAGCCAAAAACTAGTGGTGTTCGCGGTCTGGATTGGATCGGTTTTGGAAGTAAAAATCATCTGATCCAATCCCTTCGGTTTGATCATATAATTATCCGTTCGGTTTGAATTTTTTTTCAAATCCGATCCGATCCAATCCAATTTTTTTCGGTTTGGATTGGATCGGTTTTCGGTTTTTTAAAAATCCTAAAATTTATTTCATAATTATTATGCAAATAACATCTTTTGTATATATTGGCTTTGTATATTATTATTTTTATAAATACAAAGCATTAGTAAACTATAATATAGTTTTTTTTTTTACAATGAGATATGAAACTCTACAAAGATAAAATTGTTGATGAGATGTGACTAGATTTTTTTTTGGGTTTATTTGATAGTTTGATACCCAATGAGTCTTGGGTTTAAAAAATTTTGGGCTATGATTGGGGAAATATCCAAGTAGGTAGAGGGGAATTAATATATTGGATTGGTTTGGATTGGATCGATTTTCATCAACCCATCCAAAAACCGATCCAATCCAATTAAAATTTGCGGATTTTTTTCGGTTTTCGATTTTTCGATTTTCGGTTTATTCGGTTATCGGTTTTTCGGTTCGGTCACCGCGGTTTGAATCGGTTGATGAACACCCCTACAAAAAAACGACGTCATTTTGGGGCGAAAATCAAGGTAGTTTGTAATTATAATTTATTTCAGGGTCATAATAGTTTTTCTCATTATAATTTTTTAATTTTTCAATCCAAAACGACATCGTTTTGGGAGTGAATGTAAATAACTTATCTATATTCACTGTAAAAACATTAAAGTCATATATATATATATATATATATATATATATATATATATATATATATATATATGGGGAGAGATCTTTTGACTCTAGAGTAAGACTTACAACTCTTACTCTTCATCTCAACCGTTGATCTCCGTCTATATAACTGTTATCTATACCAATTAATTAATTATTAATTTCAAATAAATAATAACAGTTAGATGGACGGAAATCAACGGTTGAGATGGAGAGTAAGAGTTGTAAGTCTTACTCTAGAGTCAAAAGATCCCTCCCCTATATATATATATATATATATATATAGGGGAAACATTTGTTTACAAATTTTTTTTACAAATTACACTAAGTATGACTGGTGATACATTCTTGATTGAAGTATGACCGGCCAGACATAATATAATTTGTAAATAAAAAGTTTGTAATTATAATCTTTTCTATATATATATATATATATATATATATGTATATATATATAGGGGTAAGATCATTTGACACCGGTGTCAAATTTTAAGTTTGACACCTCATCTGAGAGCCGTTAGATCAAAAAATATCAACGACTCTGATTTGTAAGCATGTAACACCATTGATATTTTTTGATCTAACGGCTTTCAAATGAGGTGTCAAACTTAAAATTTGATATCGGTGTCAAATGATTCTACCCCATATATATATATATATATATATATATATATATATATATATATATGTATATATATATATATATATATATATGTATATATATATATATATATATATGGATAGGTTATTCTACCTACCATTTTTTCTGCTTACCTTTACCTACCACTCTCCGATACCATTATATCAGAATCTCAAGAAAAGAGAGAAAGATAAATGTTAGTTAAGATTCTGATCTAATGGTATCGGAGAGTGATAGGTAAAGATAAGCAGAAAAAATAGTAGGTAGAATAACCTATCCTATATGTTGAAATTACAGTGGAGAAATTTCTGGTTTCTTTTATTTCTTTAAACGAAAAAGAGGAGTAAAGAGAGAAAATCACACGCAGGATTCTACTTGTTCAGAAACTTGTGTTACCAAGTTTCCTACGTCAAGGATCAATTAGGGAGACCACTCCCTGGCACTTGCACTAATTAAAACAAGAACAAAAGAAATACAATATTCATATGCAGACTTAAAACCAAAGCCCCAAACGAAAAACCCTAAGCCCCAAAATACAGAAACAACATCAAGAATCTCAACACTGTGAGCTACTACAATCACAACAAAGAATCATACAGCAGCACACAGTCACACACAAGAACACTTGAGTTACCAGAACAGCTCCTCACAAGAACGTCTCCTTCTTGCGTTACCGGAACCTCCTTCACTCTCAACCACCGAAGCTTCACTCTTCAAGAGAACCACCAATCAGCCTATTGGAACCTGCAAACACAGCAAGGAAAGCAAAGACAGAAGAGAACCAGCCAAGCAATCTTGATTAAGAGATCAGAAATCAGGTTTCAAGAGAAACCCTAGCAGAGCACGCGTTAGGGATTTTCGCATATGAATATCGGTGAGAGAGAAAGCAAGTAAAAACTGAATGAAGAAAAATGACTACTGCACTTTGTATATTAACCTATACATAGTGAAACGCAGCGTTTTACAAAGGTTATGGAGAAAATACTTAAATGCCCCTAACTAATATGCATAACTGAATATATAATAAGGCTACTTATGGGAATACTCAATGCATATATAACAAACTCCACCTTATTCTCATAAGGTAGCATGCAAGTACCAGTGAATGGAGATAGCCTCCTTGATCATATATTCTCAACAAGATTGACCCAGAACCTTCAACAAGCTTAAAGCATCCTTAAACTTGTTTGCAGGAACGGACTTGGTGAAAATGTCAGCAGGATTCCATGAAGTAGAGACCTTCTCCACCTCAACCTGCTCATTAGAGATAATATCTCTAATAAAGTGCAACCTAACATCTATGTGTTTGGTCCTTTCATGAAAGGCACCATTTTTGGATAAGTGAATAGCACTTTGTGAGTCACAAAAAACCTTGGGAACATTCTTACCAAGTCCCAATTCTGATACAATACCTTTAAGCCATAAGGCTTCTTTGATTGCCTCAGTCAGTGCAATATATTCTGATTCAGTTGTTGAGAGGGCCACCACATGCTGGAGATTTGATTTCCAGCTAACCACATTCCCTCCAACAGTAAAGACATAGCCAGTCACTGATCTTCTCTTATCCAGATCAGCTGCATAGTCTGCATCACAGTATCCTTTTACACCAAACATGTTAGAATCATCAGCAGTAAAATTTAAACAATTATCACAAGATCCATTTAAGTATCTAAAAATCCATTTTACTGCATTCCAATGTTCTCTATTTGGTTTAGACATAAATCTACTCACTACACTCACTCCATGAGCAATATCAGGCCTAGTGCCTATCATAGCATACATTAGACTTCCTATAGCATTTGAATAAGGCACTTTTTGCATGTAAACAGATTCAGTTTCATCCAATTCACCACATACAGGTTTCAAACGAAAATGAGCAGCTAAAGGAGTGTTCACAGGCTTGGACAAATGCATAGCAAACAGTTTTAAAATCTTTTTCACATAGTGTGATTGAGACAAAGACAACACTCTTGCATCTCTATTTCTAAAAATATCCATGCCTAAAATTCTTCTAGCAGGGCCTAAGATTTTCATATCAAATTCCCTTTTCAACATTTCCTTTAGCTTATTAATATTATCTATATTATGAGAAACAATGAGCATATCATCAACATAGATAAGCAAGTAAACATAGTTATCACCATCAACATTCAGGAAATAAACACAATGATCATAACTACACCTATTGAAACCTTGTGATATCACAAAGTCATCAAATCTCTTGTACCATTGCCTAGGTGATTGTTTCAGGCCGTACAAGGATTTCCTAAGAAGGCAGACTTTGTCTTTGGAGCCTTTCTTTATGAAGCCATCTGGCTGCTCCATAAAAATTTGCTCCTCTAAATTACCATGCAAAAAGGCAGTTTTAACATCTAACTGTTCTAATTCTAAATTGAAAATAGCAACAGCAGATAAGAGAAGTCTAATAGAAGTATGTTTAATTACAGGAGAGAAAATTTCATTATAATCTACTCCTTCCACTTGGGCATAGCCTTTGGCTACCACCCTAGCTTTATACCTTGATCCTTCCACACCAGGGATGGCAGGTTTTCTTTTGAAAACCCACTTACATCCAATTACCCGTTTATGTTGAGGTCTGTCCACTAAGAGCCACGTCTGGTTCTTCATCAGTGAATCCATTTCATCCTCCATTGCTGCATGCCACTCCTTCCAAGTACTTGTCTTCATTGCCTCCATGTAGGTTGTTGGTTCCTCTTGTTCCATCAATTCACCAACCTGCAAAGCAAAAGCAATGATATCAGCATGTGCAAATCTGCTATGAGGTCTTATTTGCCTCCTAGCTCTATCCCTGGACAACAAATAATCAGTAGGAACTTGTCCTTGCTGGTTATTTTCAGTCTCTAGTTCCCTAGGGACATCAGAAGTATTTTCTTGTTCATTTTCAGAAGAATCCTCATGATCCTCTCCTGGATCAAAGACATTAGCATTCTGCCTTGTATGGGCAGATTGCTCCACCTCCAGCTGGACCTTATTGGGGTGGTTATTTTGCTCCTTAACCTGCAAAATATCTTTGTAGAAAGTTAGCTCATCAAAAGTA